TGTGCGGCGGGGGGGGGGGGCGCACATATGTATGTGTTGAATTTCCAGGGTTATCTTTAAAACCTTCGCTCTGAGGGGTGCGAGTGTGATTGTGGGAGAAACTGCTCAAGCTCCAGCCCAGCAAAGCACCAGAGGCAGCGGGGCGCAGGTGGGCTGCAGGACGGAGGGGTGGCAGACCATATGGGAATTACACCTTTAGAAACCAAACGTCCTGTGGTTTTAAAAGCAAGTTTAGAGACAGTACAGCTGTCTCAGATGCCCTTTCTTCTGGTTGCTCTGATATTTGCTCCTTTCTTTTTTGTGTGTGTGTTTTATAATGATAATTTTATACAGATTCAGGCTTTTAAAAATAGAAATTCAGGACTTGTTGGGCTCAGGAACAGAGCCAGCTCTGAGATAACAGGCTGGTTTATAATTAGTGCGAAATTCACCTAGTATCCAGCTCCCAAACAGATCACTGGCTGGGAAAAATAGAATGGGTAAGGCAGAGGCATTAATGAAAACATTATCACTCCTAAGCTACCTCCAAAGAAGAGAACTTAGTTACTGTAAATAAAGCATGTGGCCTGACAGCTGCAGGGAGCAGAAAGCCCATGGGACTCCTTGCTGCCGCCAGTTCAGACCCACGTGTCCTGTCCTCATCCTCCAGCCCAGATCAGATAATCAAACTTCATAAATTCCTCGGGTGCCATCACTGGGGACTATGATTTTTTTATTTAGTGCTTTCTCCACCATGGGCAATGTTTCAAATACGTGACAACCACAAGCAATGAAGAGAAACAGCAAAGATTTCGGGAAATACAAGCTTCATAAAAGAAACTCTCCCTCTCCTCTCCCGAAGAAGGAATTTCCAAACTGAGATTTAAAGCAGATGAAAGGCCTCACAACCAAGTTTCATCTGGCGATATTTCTCTTTCCTCCAAAAAGAATGAACCAGCCATTTTAATAATCTAGACAGCCAGCCTGTCTGGGCTGGCATTCACCCAGCATCATACCTAAAAAAGCAGGAGGGAATCCAGATTTTGTCTTTTCTTCTTCATCTTGCTGAAGCTCTGAACTGCTGAACTTCCTTACTATGATTCCACTGTGAAATTTGAAAGATACTTGTCAATAAAAACCCCAAGACAAATTATTTGTCATTAAGAAACAGATTTCCTAAAAAAAATCTATAAAATTAACTCAAGAAATGCTGAATACAGAATGTATACATATATAAAGTACATCTGAAGTACGAATAGAAATAGGTCTGAAATAGATCACTATTAAACAAGGTAGCGATGCATTTTTCAAACAGTGAAGCTTTTTTTAAAGCCAATTTTACATCTTAGGCTATGTAGGATTTTATTTTCTAAATTTAAATCCTTTGCAGTGATGCAAAGAGCCTCTCCTTCCTCTTCATGCCTCCTCCTCCTCCCCTTCCCCTAGCCCTCGCTCTCCTGAATATAACTCTGCAGCGATACTCTGCTTTGGAGCTGTATCTCCCTAGGCCTTGAGCCAGCACGGATGAATAAAATTTTGGGAACAATATGCTCAGTGACTGTGAAAAAGGAGTGGCATGCCAACTACTTGTACCTCCTGCCAGCTGCTCCTTAAAGCATTAGTTGCCACTAGGTCTGGAAAAGTCATTTTGCCCCAGTTCTGCCAGGCAAGTGACAAAACTCTTGGGGAGCCCTTCTGAAAGGGGGACAAGGGGAGGGAGCAAAATTAGAAAGGGCCCAGATGCTTGGAAGGGTGCCACAGGCTAGTGTAACTCATAAACCACCAGAAGTTTACTGTTATTATTAGAAATAACGTTTCATAAAAAGCACTAATATGGTTACATTTTGCTCCACCACCTCAGAAACATCCCAAACTCTTCCCCGTGAACCTGCCTGGCTTCCTGCAGGCATTGGATCCGTTGGCTGTAGAGTTTTCCTCCACAACCCCTCTTCTGTTGCCGATGAAGTTTAGTTTTACTTTCAAAGGAACATGACAACAGTTTCATCAATTCAGTTCCTGCTGTTTAATGCAACTGTATGGAAAATGTCCTCATACTATAGAAGAGGGCAATTACAGCAAGTGAATTAAAAGAAGTGCAAATATATAGTAGTTACTGTTTAAAATCTGCTTGTCAGCAGTAAATTAGACTCTATGTATCCCTGTGTACCAACCCAATTGCTACAATACTCCACCGGGGCTCCTGATCAGAAAGCACGCCCACACAAATGAGGCTAAGTGGTATCCTGCCATTGACAAAGTTCTTTTCTGGTCTTGAGTATCTTTTCTTATTCATTTTTTTCATGTCTGGAATTGGTTGTTAACATTAAATCTAGGACTGGCAGCTTGGTGCTCATTTAGATACACTTGCCTAAATATACTGTTGTCCCTGGAAAACTGCTGTTCCCTTCATTCCTCAGCTCTCCACGAAGGCTTGCAGCTTTGTTCATGCCCTCAGCCATTTAGGTGCGTCATCCTCATTTGGATTTGTTTCTGTAGAGCAGCATTTGCAGCAGCAAGAAAGAAGAATAAGCAAATCTAGCAGCTTGCAAAACCTGAAACTTCTTCAAGCTTTAAAGTTAGCAAAAATGAGGTACTAAATTTAAAATATACTCAAAGTAGGTGTTTCCCTCCACAACGTGTAAGCAATGTGTGCAACTGCTGAAACTTGGGTTACTGTCTCAGATCATCACAGTGCAATACACTCCTGTAAGCACACAGTGGCTCCAGCAAAACTGCAGCGGGATCACAAAATGGGAAAGACAAACAAAATATCCTGGAGAGTCTTAGGTGAATGTAAATAACATTTGTTTTTCTGCACAACAAGTATGCTACTAGGGAAAAAGTGTTTTGCTTCATATATCATTAGTATGAAGATGTATCAGCATGCCAAGGTGAATTACATAAATTCACTGTACTTTCTTATCCTCATCACTAAGTTGTAGGTTTCTTCCTTACATGAAAAATTAATGCCTAAATTGGGGGTTTATTCTGAAATGTAATCTTCACAGTTTCAGGTCACAGATAGCACAGCTTTGTATTTTAAACTACAAGATAAATGTATATGATGCTGTCTTAAGGAGCTAACTTGAATGAAGGATTTTGGAGCATCCCTCACAATGAAAAGGGCTAAAGTAATTGTAAACAGCTTATGGACCTGGCATCTGCTGTACGGTGCCTCCCTGTTTGTGCTGGAAATCAATGCTGGAGAAGTAGGGTTGCACAAAGGGACACTGCTTGCAAGCTGAGGAGCAGAGAACTCAGTGGAAAGCAGGGAAGAGGCTCTGTAAGGTGATACTTGAGCAAAACCAGCTCAAGAATGGAGAAAAAAAAACAGGATTTTTAGACTCCATCTGTTATAATGACAGTCTAATTGAGCTTTAAACTCAGTATTGTATTCTAAGGCTATGCCATAATAGCTAATTTGCTTGTAAATGGAGGTCGGTAATGCTTTATGTGTGACATCCCACATCTAGATAGTGATTTTCCTCTCCATTTATGAAGAAATTTTATGTAAAGAAAGCCATGAAGTGCAAGCTCCTCCTCCCTCTCTCAAATCCTTTGAGTATTAAATTGGTTTGAAGGTATATATGGGTTTATGTATAAGTATCCTTCTCTTGTCACTGCAATTTTAAGATGATTTTATTGGCTTTCTAGACCCAGAAAAAAAAAAAAAACAGATTTGCTTTATTTTTTCCGACTATTCGATCAATGTTCATTTCTGTTACACATAGAAAAACTAATTCTACCCTACGAATAAAGGATTTAAAATAAAATGCAGGGAACATTTTCAATGCATTAAAACCCATACAGACATATATATATATATGTATTGATTCAAATCTTTCCCCATCTGTATAGGGCCCAGATTCTCCCAAGACAGAAAAATAGTATTGTGTGAAGTATTGGCACTAGTGCAGTAGGATAGATAGAATTAGGAGCTCATTAATGCAATGTCAGTTGAACAAATGCTTGCTCTCTCTCAAAAAAGGAAAACATGTAAGCAAACAAACAGCAAAACAAAATAACCCTGCCAGTCGTCATGGAAAATGCTGCCGCTTTGTGAATAGAAATGCTTCTGTTCGTCGAGAGGAGTGCTCATGTTGTGTATAAAAGTCATAACCCCAGGAGATACGTTTCACAGCAACATTTCCAACCTCCCTGACCTGTACAGGGATGGATGGGGATGACAAAGCTGTTGCTCTATTATCATTATGCTGAAAAGCAAAAAGATCTGTCTGTCCACAGGTAGTCGGGCATTTACCACGTGGTGTTTACATTTAGTTACATTCAGTTTCCAAATATAACCAGGTAATATGTGGGATTTAGAGACTCATCTTACTTTTGGTAATTAAGTTGTAGGGCTAGAAAGTGGTCCAAACTGCTCTGGGCAGGCTGTCATTTCACACCCTTCCCAAGTATAATTTCCTTTATTCATGATCTCCAAGCCAGGGAACAGGAGTAATGTGAGGTCCAAAGAGCCAGTACAAATGCATTAGTTGATCCTGCCCTGAGTCACCCTGCTTTAAAAACTTGGGAATTCAGTGGGAACAGTGTTTTGAAATGTAATACCTAAGGTCTTTCCGTGGCCCACTGAACAGTTCATCTTCTTGCCCTTGCTGTTGTGCTGTGGTTAGCTTACAGTATGGCTAGAAGACAACGTCTTCTTCAGAGGGCAAGGATATGCTGTCTCTCTAGTCCTGAAATTCACTCATCAAGTTCAATATTTTGATTCCAGCTTTTAGCAATGACAGATAAATTTTCCTCTTTTACTTTTGAGCAAAATCAGGTATTAAATGGACACGATGGTTTGATGAATAATCCAGCAAATATTTTCCTGCATACATATCAACAGCCAGTTTACAGAGGACTTGTTCTTTTAAGATCTGTCAAAAGACTTGGGAAAAATAAGTATAATCTGCTTTATTGTATGATTGAAGATGTATTGTTACTGTATCATCAGTATTGAGGTTGGTCAGCTCCCAGAGATTACTTAGCACAGCTAAATGCTTGGATATACTTGCTTTTCTCGCAGATTATATGTGACAAGAATAGACTTGGGCAGTTATTACATAAGAAGGACTATTTAAAGTTCATTCATTTTAGTGTAATTCTGGCATTTATAAATTAAAACCAGCCTGCTTCTTGTTCTTGTGGATTGGAGAAGCTCAAAGAATCTCCAGCACGGAAAATATATTCTCACTTCACAGCTCAGTGTTTCACATGGGGAAGGGACTTTATTACCACAGTGCACTATATTACAACTTCTCCTATTAATAATTTCTATGTGCATCATACACTGCACACTGTAGTATCCCCTGGTGTAGTCTAATCTCACTGCCCTAATGCTCACCAGCTCTATTCTTGTAGTCATACAGATTTAATGAGAAAAAGATGTTTGTTTGAAGAAAGACGGCTTATGCTGAATACTGAATACCTAGTTCAAGTGTACACTGGTGTATTACCAAAACAATGAGGTAGAAGTCCTTTTCAAAACAGCTTCAATTTTTTGTGGCGCATCCAACTGAACCACTGTGTTTTAAACACTGACACTTCTGACGACAGAATACTATTTAATTTCACAGAAACTGGTGTTCAAATATTAGTAGTGAACTGTTTTGTTCGCACAGATCCCACTGTTAAGGCACAGAATTTGGTTAATGGGATGCCATTAGCTTTCACTTTTCTCTGGCATTGTCAGCACATGCATTAAGAACAACTACATGAGGATAACAAACCAGGTGTGGGTAGGACAATCACCCCAGCAGTGCCTTCCAGCAGCTCCGCCCTGACACAAGTCACTGTGCCATGGCTTTCCCAGAGCCATGCTGGACCAGAGAGCCACCCCAGTGCTGCCTCCTGTCACTCCCCTGGGGCAACTGGGGCGGCAGGAAGAGTCACAGATTTTCTGCAACACCTCTGGTATATTTGCAGTTTTAGAGGCAGAGGCTTAGAAATAGGAAAGAGGAGACCAAAAAAAAGTTGAAGTGTCATACTAAAGGCAAGTCCTCTTGTAACCAAGATGATAGCTGTTTTGTTATGTATCTTAGTCTTAAGGACCAAGGTGATGGGAGAGTTAAAACGCTAACATTATTGCTAAGCTACTACCTGCAGAACCTATCCATTTTAATAATAGGTTAAGGAGTGTTTTAATGTAACCAAAGTAACAGGTTTGTGGTGTGTTTTAGAAACTGGGTGCTATGGAAAAAGAAACAAGGTACAGTAACAATGCGCATGCTCAACAAGGAGGGCTCAATCAAAGGACACGCGGTACAGCCCCCCAGATACTACCAGAGACGCCCCTCAGCTTTTAAGGATGCATGCGTAATGACTATGTAAATATGATAATTAGTTCAGGGAAATTCAATGCATATGTATGTAACGAGGTGATATAAACTTTAGTTGATGTAACCTGTGGTATGCACGCTAGGCGGAATGATCCCCGGTGCATCTGGCACCATGAATAAAGAATGCCCACCTTTTAACACTACATTGGTGTTACGAGGATTATTCCCAATTTTGGTGACACTCTCTAAGGAGAGCTGTGCAAGCTTCTGAACTTTGGTCAGACTTTTTATGAAAGACACATATGAAATGTTAAAATCCATTTACTTGGCAGTATTTGGCTTTTAAGAGTGCTTCTGAAGAATGCTGTGCAAAAAGATGCCATTTTCATGGAAAACAACAACTATTCCAGGACATCATATGGCAATCAACCCCTAATCTAATTATGCACGTACATCTTGAAAGATTAAAAATGTTCCACAATCTCCTATATAAAATCAGCACTGTCTTTCCTTCTTGTGCCAATTCCATCCTGCTTTTCTGTGGAAAGCGCTTCATCTGCAATATTCGGTCAGGACAAATTTCATAAATACTGCTTAGTAGCTTCCATATGAGATATTGTAAAGAATCATAGAATCATAGAATAGAATCATAGAATCACTTTGGTTGGAAAAGACCTTTGAGATCATCGAGTCCAACCTTTAACCTAACCCTGCCATCCCACCACTAAACCATGTCCCTAAGCATCTCATCTATCCTTCTTTTAAATACCTCCAGGGATGAGGACCATACCACCTCCCTGGGCAGCCCATTCCAGAGCCTGACAACCCTTTCGGGGAAGAAGTTTTTCCTAATGTCTAGCCTAAACCTGCCCTGGTGCAACTGCAAACCATTCCCCCTCGTCCTAGCGTCCATTACCAGGGAGAAGAGGCTGACCCCCACCTCGCCACAGCCTCCTTTCAGGTAGTTGTAGAGGGGGATCAGGTCTCCCCTCAGCCTCCTCTTCTCCAGACTAAA